CAGGGTGTAGGTGACTGATTTAGCCAGTGTAATAAGAAGTTCCAGTATGAGTTGAGATGTGCATGGCACCAGGCAATAATGATTCAAAGCATTTCCAGAGTATCTTTATTGCTCAATGCTCACACAAAGCACACTTGAGCGATTATTCACAATGGCAAAGCATCCTTGGAGCTGCATGCCTACCCCCTTAGGAGGCACAGAAGAAGAAGGTGACTGGCGGGCGAGCATGTTCAGAAGGCGGATGAGAGTGCCTTGGTGGCAATCAGCACCACCACAAACCGTTGACACCATACCATAGACACCATGAAACGAACTAGGGCCAGAGGTAATTAGCACCACTGGCCCATGTGACCAGCTCTTGCGAGCAGCACCAGCTGTGCTTTTTTTTTTTCGTAACACTGAGGGTGACCAACACCCTTATTTAGGCACCAACACGGAAGTTGACCCTCACATCCACAACCACACGGTACCCATCCGACGTCTTCCTCTGATCATACCTTGGCTCCCGCCACTCCAAGCACTCCACATTCCCCTTCGACACCAGCACATACCCCGCCCCAGGGTCCCAGTCCCCCATGCTCTTCCACGCTCCCATCTTCTTGGCTTGAGTGCCGATAAGGCCGGGAGAGAGGAGGGTGAGGTAGGGCGGGGAGAGGGGGGGCAAGTTGAAATCGCCGCCGAAAATAATGGGGGCGGGGTGGAGCGATTGGGAAGGGGAGGGTGTTGGTGGGGAAGAGGTGGTCATGGTGGGATTAGGAGAGAGGGGCAACGTGATAGAGTGACCATTTGATGTTGTAGGGGCTGGTGCTGCTGGTGACTTTGGTGCTATTTCTGAGCCTGGTGCTCCCTTTGATTTTGATGCATCCTGCGCCTCTACAAGTGCAACTGCCGCTGCTTCTGCTGTTTCATCTCCCTGTGTCCCTGCTGCTTGCTCCACCTCTGATGCTGCTGCAGCTGCTTCCTGTGCTGCAGCATCCCCCTCCGCTGCAGCATTCCCCTCCGCTGCTGTAACAGTTTTGCCCATCCCAATCGCTGCAGGTGCATCGGTCCCGACAATATGACTGCTGGATGGAACATCAGCTAAACATGTTGACGGCACATCAGCAGCATTTGTTGGTGCCAGGTCAGCAGCATTTGATGCTGGCACGGCAGCAGCACCTGCGGAGGGAATGTGAGCAGCAAGTGCAGTTTCTCCTACTTCGCCTGACCTTTCTCCTGCTCTCCCAGCTTCTTGAGTCCTTCTCCCCTCCCCCTCCCCCCCTGGCTGTAGCACACTACCGCCAAGCGACGCCACCCGTTCAGCCTCCAGCCGGATATCGACCTCCAGGCCACTGAAATTCGCGTTCATGATGTGAACAGGGTAGCCAGACACACCCGAACTCATCTGGTTACCACCGGCAACCATGTAACCACCACCACGGAGCATGTTACCACCCCCTAGCAGGATGATAGCATGCTGAAAGCAGGCAAATTTGCTGTGGGGGAAGGGGAGGGACTGAGAAGCGGAGGTGGAGAGGAGGGGGAAGCGAGAGAGGATGGCGCACCCCCACGACTGGTGGCAGGCAGGGGGTGCGGACCAGGCGTGCATTCCCAGCCAGGTTACACGATATTGGACCTGTTCCATTAGGGTAAATAAAAGACACAAGGGGGAATATGGGTGCAAAGGAGGAAGTGCGAGAGGATGGCACAGTCCCAGGACTGGTGGCTGGTGGGGGGGGCAGACCAGGCATGGATGCCCAGCCATGTTGCGAGTTACTGGACCTGAGAAGAGAAATAGTGAAAGGAAGAAGTCGGGGAGAGGAGGGGTAGGGGGTGAGTGGGCGAGGGAAGTGGGAGGGGATGGTGCAGCCCCAAGGTCCAGAAAGAGATGTGGCGGGTGGAAGGGAAGGCCTGGGTATTGAGGGGCCGGGCGGGATGTGTACACGCCCCAAGCTCAAGTTGAGATGCAGCTCAGCTTGAGGGACTCACACATGGGTTGTTGAACACGCGATGTGGGACTCGCCATGTCAACATTGCCATGGACCATGTGCATGGTGTGTGACTCCTAGCCTCTTCGACACGCTCCACATGCTGAGTCTATATTTGAGGCGCCTCAAAATAGACTCCTATGGCCTCATTGACATGCTCCACAACGTGCTTCAGACGATTTGCATGGTGTCTGTCTAACTCCTATGGCCTCCTCCTTGACTGACACGCTCCGCGAAAAGCTTAGCTTCTCCAAATGCCCACCACAAGCTGAGCTTTTTATGGCATGCTGAGGTCTCTCAGTGAGCGCACCAGAACTCACCATGGTGAGTGTCAACATTGTCGTAAATGCGGTGCACGGTGTCTCACTTTTGCAACCTATTTGAGCCGGGATTGAGAGCAACAACAGTGGATCCTTCTGCCAGCATTGTTGTAGTGGGTAACGTCGGCACTGCGGGGAGCAACCTAGGCAGCTATAAGGCTACAGTGCGCCCAACTTTGCTTGAAGGCACTAAGGGCGGCACATTGCATCCGTTTCGGAGGATCGCGACTAAAATATCAAAAATGTATTTTTTAGCAAGATCATTTCAGACATATTGAAAACGACCCTCGATATCGGACTTGTAGGCGACATAGGCAAGTTCCATATTTGCAACTTTCTGACCCACTGGATCGATTTGCAGTGTGACATTTCACCAGTTTTTTCGCAAAAAGGATTGAACGCGGCGTGAGCCTCTCCATATTTATGTCTCAACATTTTTCGCTTTGGCGAGTTGGCGAAGCGCTGGAGGTTTCGTGACATTTCTGGGTGGCGCGATCTGGTACTTTGGCGGGTAGGTTCGGAAGAGGGTTGGATGTGAAATCATTTTGCGGGATTGTTTTGGGAGTGATCCTCTCCTCCGAAATGGTACTTGATTGTTTCAGGGCTACTGTAGCAAGTTGGCTACCCGCTTTCTACATTGCCAAGTTCGCAAAATGATCGTCGGTCAGGATGCAACGTGTCGTGCCCTAACTTGCCTGCTGCAGAGTGAGGTGTGCGGGTGAGTTCTTTCAGGACCAGTATCAGCAACAGCATCAGTCAGAGCAACAGCAACGTCAGTTGGGGCAAGAGCGCCAGCACTCAGAGCACCAGCAATAGTATCTCTGAGAAGGGAGGGGGAGAAGACAGGGAAGCAATGGAGAGGAAGGAGAGGAGGGATGAGAGGAAGGCGAAGAGGGATGAGAGGACGGGGAGGAGGGAAGAGAGGAAGGCGAGGACGGCGATTCAAGAGGGGATATAGAAGGAAGCAGCGAGGAAAGAGGGGAGCCCTCGAAGCAACTTGACTCTGAGAAGCAGCCTAACTTAGGCAAGCAGCATCAACGCAAGCCTCAGAACGATCATCAGCAGCAGCCTCGGTGGCCGGTGGGGCAGGCGACTCAAGAGGGGCACCAGCAGCGGGAATAGCAGCGAGAGGGGCAGCAGCATCCAGACAAGGGGTTCTAAAGGTGAGATGCATGAGGCGCAAGGCCGTGAGAAAAGGAGTGAAATATGGAGTGGACAAGGGAGCAGACAGGGGAGAGAGGGCTAGAGGAGGAGCAGCAGCTTCAGCCTGAGCAGCATCACGAGCAGCATCAGCAGCAGACTCCCGTGGTGCTCAACTGATAGCGACAGCGCTGTAGCAGCTTCCAGCGTTACGAGCAACGGTACCAGTGGCGCCTGTTGCAATAGCGCGAGAAAATTGTGGCTACAAAGAGGAAAGAGGAGATACAAGTAGAGAGTGTTGTCCCCTCTAAGAGCTGATCTAGCTAGGAAATAACAAACATATCTAAACTAATTATCTATGTGTATATAGAAATGTATTTTTATTGACACACCCCCTAGCCTAGATAGTAGTAACATTTAACATACCAGGGAAGCACTACTATTCTGACCTCTGGTGAAGGTAATAAGACAACTCAGGGCAACACTACTAGTCTGACCACTAAGTCAACAAGCCATAAGGCCAGTCAGCAAGTATAGTAAGGCATACACGTAAAGCACAAGCAGGTAAAATGTATATCAGCATACAAGGTGTGCAGCTGCTACTAAGACTAGACCAAGCTGAGTATAGAACCGCTGATGGTCACGAGGCACTAGTGCCTTTGTGAAGATATCAGCAGTGTTGGCCTCTGAGGCCACCCGTACTACACAAGCCTAACCGCGCTGATGTAACTCACGCAGCAGGAAGTACTGCAGCTGGATGTGCTTCGCCCTGCCCACTAGTCGAGCTTTCTGACACAGGAGGATCATGGCCATGCTGTCCACAAACAAGACCGGGGCAGACTTAGGTGGCTCACTATAAGTCAGTGAGCAAGAACGACATCCAGCAAAGCTCCTGAGCGGCCAGGACCCCAGTGTAGATCTCTGCCTCACAACTAGACTGAGTTACAGACAAAGATCTAGTGGACCTCCACGAGACTGCACCAAAACCAAGACTAAAACAGTAGACATGTGAGGACCTGAGTGTCTCCAAGTCGTCAGCCCACGACGCGTCTATGCATCTATTGAGCACCACTGGCTCTCGTCCTCCTAGCACAAGCCACAGTCCTGATCTACTCGTTGGATACCACACTACCCTCGTGGCAGCAGACCAGTGGACTGGTCGGTGCCTGCCTGTCGCAACAAAGCGAGCAAGGAGAATAAGAGAGTACGCTATATCTGGTCGAGTGCACGTCATCAGGTACATGAGGCACCCCACCAGCTCTACGTATGGACTACTAGGCTCAGCCGAAACAAAAAAAGAGAGCTTGTGATCCATAGGTAGAGGGGTGACCTGTACTAAGGAGAATTGGAGACTGAACCTCTGGAGGATCTACCATATGGGACTGGGAGAGTGTGATCGTGCGAGCGGCACGGTCACGAGAGATCTCCAAGCTCAAATAGGGCCTCAGCTCCCCCAGGTTAGTGCAGGTGTGCAGACTATCCTGCAGGATGGCTGTGGAGGAGTCGAGAGAGAGAAGCTCGTAGTCACGCTGCCCGGCTAGGTAAAGGAGCACCCGAAGAGTAGTCATCTTCGGGGTCCGGGAGAATGTCTGTAAGAAGTCCACACCCTCTCACTGGCTGAAGCCTCTAGCCACGTAACGCACTTTGAACTTCGGCGGCTCTCCATGTGCGCGCTTCACAAGCCATCGACTACGTTTGCCCCAGACGAGGGAACTGTATCGACGTAAGTGCCTGTGGATCTGTAGGATGTCATTTCAGCCTCCATGGCATGTATCCACTAGGCTGCACAGGGTCTCAATACCGCCTCAGCGTAAGAGCGTGGAATAGGGATGTCGAGGGCATCCGGGTCGTCCTCTAGGGATACAAGCATGGAGCAGAGATGATGTACAGCGGCATCAAGGTAGGCCAGCCCGTACTACCTGTTCTCTAGCACGTCACTGCCAAGGGCAGGTGCACCCCCGACGGCCGGAGGACGGGCAGTACCAGAGACCAGACCAGCAGCGTAGTCACGGCGGTGGCTAGCAGCGAAGTCAGCGATAGCAGCGACAAGCACAGCGACAGACTCAGGAGGAGCGATAGGGTCAGTTACAAGCAACGCAAGCAAGCGGGAGGTTGTTAGGACGAGCAGTAACGCGTCGTTAGAGGGAGGAGCAGAGAGATGTGGGAGTGACAACAGAAGAGGCAATGGAAGAACGAGGACTGAGAGGAGCACGAGTACAAAGGTCCATCCGATGGACACTAGCACAAGGAGAGACAGGATGGGCACCAACGAGATAGAGAGAGAGAGAGAGAGAGAGAGAGAGAGAGAGAGAGAGAGAGAGAGAGAGAGAGAGAGAGAGAGAGAGAGAGAGAGAGGGAGAGAGCCTATGAGAGAGAGAGAGAGAGGGAGAGAGGGAGAGAGCCTATGAGAGAGAGAGAGAGAGAGAGAGAGAGAGAGAGAGAGAGAGAGAGAGAGAGAGAGAGAGAGAGAGAGAGAGAGAGAGAGAGAGATTGTAGAGAGAGAGAGAGAGAGAGAGAGAGAGAGAGAGAGAGAGAGAGAGAGAGAGAGAGAGAGAGAGATTGTAGAGAGAGAGAGAAAGAGAGAGAGAGAGAGAGAGAGAGAGAGAGAGAGAGAGAGAGAGAGAGAGAGAGAGAGAGAGAGATACTGTAGAGAGAGAGAGAGAGAGAGAGAGAGAGAGAGAGAGAGAGAGAGAGAGAGAGAGAGATAGAGAGAGAGAGAGAGAGAGAGAGAGAGAGAGAGAGAGAGAGAGAGAGAGAGAGAGAGAGAGAGAGGAATCAGTGGGAAAAAACCGAGGACTAGGGACGAGGGGGGAAAGGGGACAAGACAGGGGACGGACGAGAGCGCGGTGGGAAATGAGACGGAGAGGATTCCGAGGGAGAAAACAACGGGCTGTAAACAAGGTCACGCACCGGAGGAGGGACGGGCGGTCAGTCAGGGGAAGTGGCTGCGACGGCTGCTGCAGCTGCTGCTGTGGCGGCAGCTGCTATTGCGACTGTTGCTGCTCCCTGTCCTCTCAAGAGCCTTCAGTTCCACCTCGGCTATCACCCACACTCTCCATAACAGCACCCCTAGAACTAGCACCCCCAGAATCAGTACCCCTTGAACCAGCCCCCCTAGAATCAGTACCCCCAGAACCAGCACCCCCAAAACCAGCACCACCAGAGTCCACGGCACCCTCCTGCTGCTGTTGTTGCGGCTGTTGAGTCTGCTGCGGCGGCTGTTGCTGCTGCTGAGGCAAGGGGGGAGGCGGCTGAGGTGCCTGGGGTACCTGGGCTGGGGGATGCGCCACAGCAGCTGGGCCCCCAGAGTCAGCAGGCTCCCCCACAGGCCCAACCGAGGGGAAAGAAATGGCGTGAGAGACACCAGACGGGGCCAGGCGGGGTGGGAGGGGTGCGGCAGGCGGGGCGGGGATGAGGAAGAGAGGAAGAGGAGGCATAGGAGCGCTGCGATGAGGGAAGCGCCTGTAGTAAGGGAGCGTCTCGTCGAAGGTAACGTCACATGAGCGGTAGAAGCGGTGGTGGACCGGGTCGTAAAACAGCCAATCAAGGGCGTCAAGCGGAAACCCGAGGAAACACACAGACGAGTGCGGGCTGAGAGCTTGTTTGCGCTAGTGGCGCGGACGTAAGCAAGGCTACCCCAGACGTGGAACGCAGCAGCGTCACCGGGAGACCTTGTCCAGAGACGGGTCGGCGAAACATGTGGTCGCTGGGAGCACGGCCACAGGTTAAGCTGGTGAGCTGCTTAGCACACGGCGAATGACCACAGATAATGGGTGCACTGGCATGGACCAAGGAGGTAAGAGCTACCTCCATGACCAAGCCAAGGCATCGCTCTGCAATCCCATTCTATTGTGGGGAGTCTGGTAGTGTGTACGTCTGGCGGATGCCCTCTGCACGACATAACTGTCCTAGAGAGCAAGAGGCGAACTCGCCACCACGGCCAGAGTGTAAACGAACTCAGACATGCGGTGCTGGGTGTGAGCAGCGAGCAGCCATGGGAGGAGAACGGTAGGCATGTTGGCCTTCCACTCCAACAAGAACATGGTGGTGTAGCGCGAGAAGTCATCAACGACGACTAGGAGGTAGCACTCCCGGCTAAGACCATGGACCGAGGAAGGGACCCAGATGTCCATGTTATGTGTATGTAGCGGTGCTGTGGTAGGAGAAAATGAGGAGGAATGAGGGGCGGCGCGCTACCGGCCCTCGACTTTGGCAGGGCTGGGAGCGAAGCAAGAAGACAGTAACGAGACCGTGCTGGAATATGTGCCTAAGATGCGTGAGTGTAGGGTGACCTAAACGGTGGTGCCACAGAAGGGTCGGGTGGGTAAGGGAGTGACAAGAACACGACACGGCTACCTCAGCAGACGCAGCAAGTGACGGTGATCCAATGTGCAAGGTAAAGAGACCAGACGCTGGGTTACGCTCAAAATTGGCTAGACGTCTACTCGTGGTTGTGTCCATACAGTCTACGTGCCCCACGTAGCCAAGAAACGTGGTGGTGACTCCTCGGTCCTGGAGATGACCGACACCAACTAGGTTCCCGGCAAACGTAGGGATGTGCAGTCATGTGAGTGAGCAAGAGAGGACTGCTGGACAAGGGAGGGTGGTGGTGCTGCGTGCGACTACAGTGGCAGGGGAGATTGCTAGGGAGATCTGGACCGGTGCAGGAAGCGGGATGAGAGCAATGCTGTCTCGGAAGAAGCAGCGGGACGCACCAGAGTCGAGTATGAAGGATACAACCGACGTAGGAGGGGCAGGGCAGGAGCCTAGGGGACAGTAGTAGAGGCTCCTAGAGTAGGCACAATAGTGGGACCTAGACCCCTAGACTCACATGCCCCTGGTCCTCCAGAGAAAACATACTGGCCCCAAGGCAATGACCGCCCTGTGGCCTCATCTCCAGAGCCTCCTCTGCACACAACACCCCCAAGACCCGACTGCTACTGCTATGGCTGCCCCTGCTGCTGCTGCTGCGGCTGTTGTTGTTGTTGCTGCTGCGGCTGTTGCTGCTGCTGTTGCTGCTGCTGTTGCTACTGCTGCGGCTGCTGCTGCGGTTGCTGCTATGGCAGCAGCACTGGCCAGAGAGCCCAGAAGCAAATGTCGAGGTCGTGGAGCCAAAATTCAAGGAGGTAACTAATGTGATCCTCTAGGAGCGTGTAGTCTAAGTGTGGGCTCACCAGCTGTAGACGGTGAGCGAGAAACCGGTGAGCGGAGGGAAGTGCATGGCGGTCTGGCCGAGGGACTAACCCTAACGAGGCCATCATGCCGAGAGGAGAGGCGCCAAGGAACTCTAGAAACGATGAGGAGACTAATGGGAGGCACAAGGTGCTACAGGAGCACTAACGGAGGTTGTAGCTATGGCGGCTGTGGTCGGAGCGGTGGTCTGGCAGTGGCGGCTAGTGGCAGACTAGTGGGAGCGAGCAGGAGGCTGGCAGCAGCAACAGCTAGCAGTAGGATGACGGTAGCAGTAGCTTGTGACAGTAAGACGGCAGTGGTGGCTAACTGGCGGCGGGCTGGTAGCAAGAGGCGGCAAGCTGGGATCGAGCTAGCGAGTTGGCAGCGAGCTGGCGAGTTGGCAGCGAGCTGGCGTGCTGGTGTGCTGGTGAGCTGGTAGCTGTGGGCAGAGGCTGCTGGTGGCGAGCTAGCAGGCGCTGCTGGCAGCGAGCTGACAGACACTCCCGGTGGCGAGCTGGCAGGTGCTGGTGGCGGCTAGCTGGCTCCGAGTGGACAGTGGCTAATGAGCAGCTGGTGGTAGGCAAGGAGCTGCTAGGAGTGGGGAGCAAACGAGGAGGAAGTACATGCGAGAGGAGCAACAGGGAGCAGCACGTTGAGGAGCTAGCTAGGATTCACTAGGACTGGTGGCACAGGGCGAATGACAGTCCACAGGGCACGGGGGAACTCATGAGGCTGGCGGCCGACTGACGACTGGTGGCTGGCGGTCAACTGGCGACTCGCGGCTGGTGGCCGACTGGCGCTGGCGGCTGGTGGTCGGCGGCTGGCTGCAAGTGGTGGCAGCTGGCGGCTGACGGCTGAAGGTCAGCGGCTGGTCGCCGGTAGCAGCTGGAGCCAGCGGTCGGCTGCTGGCGGCTGGCGACTGGTGCTGGTGGTTGGTGGTCGGCTGCTGGAGGCCGAAGCTGATGGTTGGCAACAGCAGTGGTGACAGGAGCGGCAGTGGCGGCTGCAGAGGCAGCAGCGGCAGCGGCGGCAGCAGCGGTAGCGGCAACTGCAAGGGCAGCGGCAGCTGCAAGGGCAGCGGCGGCAGTGGCGGCTGCAAGGGCGGCAGCAGTGGCAGATGTAAGGGCAGCAGTGGCAGCGGCAGCTGCAAGGACGGCAGCGGCAGTGGCGGCTGCAAGGGCAGCAGCGGCAGCAGCATCTGCCAGGGCAGCGCGGCAGTGGCAGCTGCAGCGGCAGCTGCAAGGGCAGCAGAGGCAGTGGCGGCTGCAAGGGCAGCGGCAGCAGTGGCGGCTGCAAGGGCAGTGGTGGCAGCGGCGGCAGCAGCAGCTGCAAGGGCAGCAGTGGCAGTGGCAGCTGCAAGGGCAGCGGAGGCAGTGTCGATTGCAAGGGCAGCGGCGGCAGCGGCATCTGCAAGGGCAGCGGCGGCAGTGGCTGCGGTAGTGGCAGCTGCAGTGACAGTGGGCAGCAGTAGGCGGCAGTGGGCAGCAGCTGGTGGCAGCATGCAGTAGTAGCTGCGGCAGTGGCAGTGGGCGGCAGCAGCCGGCGCTGGCTGCTGGCTGCTGGCAGTGCGCTGCTGGCGGCTGGCGGATGGCACTGGTGGAGCTGGTGAGCCAGCGAGCTGGCGAGCTGGCTGGCGCTGGCGAGCTGGCTGGTGCTGGCTGCTGGGGCTAGCGAGCGGGCAAGCTGGCTGGCGCTGGCGAGCTGGCTGGCTATGGCTGCGAGGCGGCTGCTGGCTGGCTAGCAGGCGACGGCGAGCCAGTGACGACCTGGCTGGCGGCGGTGGCAGCGCGGTTGCTGGCTGGCAAGCAGGCGGCGGCGAGCTGGATGGCACCTGGGCGGTAGCTGCAGGCTGGCTATTGGGCGGCGGCGGCGAGCCGGGAGCGCAAAATGGCAGGCTAAGGGCGGGTGGGCAGGCTGGCGCAGCTAGCGCTGGCGAACTGGCTAGTGGGCTGGCGTGCTAGCTGGCTGGCGAGCAAGTTAGCTAGTTAGTGTGCTGGCCGGCTGGCTGGCGTACGGAACGAGCGAACGCTGAGGGGGAGGGGGGGGGGGGGACCTACAAATCGAGAAATTGGAGAGCGCGAGATGCAGGGAAAAAAAATCGGTACACTACGGGCGGAAGCGTGAGGTGCGATAAATCTAACCTAGCTCTATACAATGTTAGAATAGCGTGAGAAAATTGTGGCTAGGAAGAGGGGAGAGGAGATACAAGAAGAAAGTGTTGTCACTTCTAAGAGCTGATCTAGCTAGGCTATAACAAATATATCTAAACCGACTAGATATTGCTAGAAACCCAGTCACTAACCACTGGGTTAAAAGGGCTTGTTAATAGCGGGTCAGTGCGCCCATAGCCCCAGGCTCTGCACCTGTGGCCCTTCCCCGAGGATCTTCTCAAGGGTAACCCCAGCGGGTCTCTCGACACCCCCCCTCGCTGGGATAGGTGGAGGACACGAGCGCCTCTGCAGCTCTAGCACTGAGAATTGAACCTGGGTCACCAACGCTCTGATGC